TTAAAATTAAAATAATAATTAAATTGTTTATTGAAATAAATAATAATTATTAATTTGGAATCTTTTGTAATAATTTAATTATTATATATGTAATTTTTTTATATTTTTATATTATTTTTTATTTGTTTGAATATTTTTGATTACATTATTAATTATTTTTTTGTATATAATATGTTAATAATATAATTGGTTAATAGATATGGTTAAAACTAGAGGTGGATATCATGGTGAGGCTTCATCCTCTCATAGTGAGCCATCAGATGAAAGAAGACGACCTACGGCATCTACCAGCTTCACCAGTTGTTGTGTCAGATCTTATAGTGACGACAACAAATCCAAGATCAAATGCAATCTTTCGAACCCATTGAATTAAATCGGCGCGTGTTGGGAATATTTTATCAGTGGAAAATTGATCTGAATAATCACCCTCACCCACTTCTTTTAAAGAATAAGAAAATTCCGATATAAAATCAGAATTTATTTCAGAATCCAAATATGGATGGTTATCCATCTCATATAATTAAATATGACCTACAATAAATATTAAAATTTAAAAATTTATTAAATTACAAATAAAAAATTCAAAAACACTTTCTAATAAAAAAATCATATAACCTAAATATTATTAAAAATTCATATAACCTAAATACACTCCCTAATCACTCCGTAATGACTAACCATAATCCATGAAAAAAAAAATTAAATAAATAATCATAACATAAAACAATAAATTTAAATTAAAAATAATAACATAATAACAAAAACATAAAAAAAAAACATGTAAAAAAAAGGAAAAAGGATTGCAGTAACTAAAAAAAATAAAAAAAAAACCATGCATAAAAAAAAATTAAAAATACCTATCACTAACCGCACTTCAAAGTGCGTCTACAAAATGAAAGCCGCACTTCGAAGTGCGGCGGATACAAAATGGTAAACGCACTTCGAAGTGCGGCGCGGTTACCAGATTCACTACCCAGGCCTCACTGTCTTCTTCCTCTCTCGCTCACGCTCACATGTATAAATCTCCCAAAACCTAAACACTATGACCACCACCCCACCCCAGCATTGTACTAATATAATTAAAAAAACATTAAATAAAAAATTTGCATCAAACAAACAAGAAAAAATTAAACAAATGCATGCAAAAAAAAAAACATATATCACAACGCACTTCAAAGTGCGGCACCCTAAATTAAAAACGCACTTCGAAGTGCGGCGGAGTCTTTCCGCACTTCGAAGTGCGGTTGCGTACCTTCGTCGGCGCAGAGTCTTCTTCCTCTTCCTCCTGCCGTCACGCTGCTGTATCTCCAAATCTTATTCAATCCAGTAAACCATAAATTACTTGCTACATTGAACATGAACTGTGCACCTAACTGAGGGTTTATAAAGAAGATATATTTTTGTGCATGTGGTTGGGAGTTAGAAGAATGGTTGGGGGTTAAAAAAATTAATTTATTAATTACGGTTTTGACTTTTTATTAAATGAAGGATAAAATGGTAAATTTGGGGTGCAGGATGAGGTGAGGGAGGTGTAGGAAGATTCACTCTGTTATTTTTCATTCACCACCAAAACAAGAAGAAAACGAAATTTTAACTTTTCTCCTTTTTACCCTCAAGCAGTATGTAATTTTAAAAAAAAAATTAAGTTCACCATGTCATATGAATGTAACCGACACATAGGCGTGTCATTGTATTACTACTAGAAATTTTTTTCTTGTTTTTTTTCTTGTCGGAATCCACAAATGGGGATTGTAACAAACTAGATTTACCATTTTACAGACATATTTTCATTATTTTATACTGATACTCCAGTAGATGTAATATCACAACAATTGTGATTTCAGAAAATTCAAGCGAAACAAATAATGCAATTAAAATGATGAGAATCAGCTTCAAAGATTAAGTGCTTGTTGTAGGGAGACTATTGAAGATAACATAGGGACAAACAAAAACCACTCGACGATTCCAGCATTTGTCCCATCTCCACATAAATTAAATATTTGTTTGTGGAATAATTGCAGAATCTATTGGTCAATGTGATATGCCTCATAATGATATCGAGTGTATTATGAGTGTTGATTAAGATTTTTTTTTTTGTTATATAGGAGCATATAATTAATATATTTGGTTATAGTAATCTATTTATTTGATTTTACAGAGAGCAAATAGGTTGATTAGCAAATATTAGCTAATGATCGGATTCTGGTTGCAGGTATCTTATTATTAAAAACAGAGTTATAATTTGAGTTAAAGATAATAATAGGCTGATTTAAGAATTTAGATTAATCCTCTTATATTAACTAAGTAGTTGAGCTAAAAAAATATTTAAGAGTTTACAGCAACTCTTATAACCTTAGTAGAGTGAAGTTGGACTTTTGTAATTTATCCAAATAAAAATGAATCCTTGTATCTTTAAGTCATAAAGTTGACTTGGGTTACTTGTACAAATCAAGAACAAGACATTAAGAAAGCTAGGGAAAAGTTTAAATATAATTGGTTAGAGATGTCTAATTGAGTTAAAACCTAGGTTAATCTAGATATAGGATTAAGTTGAAAAAAAAAATCATTTTTAATGTGAGTTAAATTGATTCCGTCTCTATTAACTTGTGTATTAAATGAGTTTAAGACAAGTTAGAGTGAGTTGACCAATAGTTTATAAATAATATTTTTTATTATTCTTATTTAATTTTTCTATAATTTTTTATTATAATTATTTATTAATTTTAATTATGTCAAAAATATATATTTTAAAATAATAAAATGTTGTTCAATAATATTTAAATAATTTGAATGTTTAATTTATTTATTTGTCAAATTATATAATAAGTGAATATTTTGACTCTACTATTATGAAAAATAATTAGTCGAGTAATTATTTTAATTGTATTGTTTTAAATATATAAAATAAATTAGAAAAAAAATCCTTAAATGAATCAATCTATACCAAACATGGTGTGTCAGGTTACAAAACTCTTTATTAAGGTTAACTCGATTTTAGTTTAATCTATATGATTCGGATTGGTTCATTTTAATACTATGTGATTAGTTGGTTAACTTGAATAATATTTAAATATTACTAAAATAGAAAAAACATTATGTAATTTATACTTGTGTTCACATATTTTTCATAATAATAATAATAAATATTATTATAAAATTAAAATAACATAGTAATTTTATTGTATATAATTTTTATTTATTTTGTAAATATTTTTATAAATGCAAACACAATAAAAATAAATTTTGGTTTATATATAATATAGAGATATTATTTATTGGGATGAGTTGGGTAACGTAACAAATTGAGTATGAATTCGAATAGACACGTTAATGGTGATAAAATAACTAACATATTATAGACCGTAACAATTAGGTGGAAAAAAAATTAAAATTCTATCTTGATTCATATTGCATTGGTTGAATGATAGATACACATGTGGTCTATTTATACAATTCATATACGGATCTGTATTAGTAGTTGCTGAATATTCCATACAAGGTATATATTAGCAGGTTAACTTTTCTCTTTTTATAAGGACAATTAATGGTAGAAAATCTCAAGTTATCATTATACATTAATTTTCTGGTGCAATATTAAATAACAAATTGAAAATTCCTTATTCTTTGATGTCGAAAACTCAGGACAAGTTAAGAAAATAATTATTGGTAAATCAGAAGAAAACAAATAAAAATATATATAGAAGATAAGCTAATTATTTTATTTGTTCAAAATAACTTTTTTATATTACTTTCCATCTGTTGAGAGTAAAAAGTTATAGTTAAGAAAAATATAAATAATGTTACCCACTAGTCTCTGTCACTCATTCTCTTCAGCTTTTGAATTATTGTGATGAAATGCTTCTTAATAATACTATATATAGTCTTAGGATTTATCCAATATTTTTTATTATCACTATTTGCCTGATTGGTATGCTGTTTATTTCACATTGATGTATATTTAATGAGTGGATTCTGATATTATCTGATTTGAACTATTGTAGAAACAACAGTGAACTTATTCTTTTAGACGTGAATTTTTCCTTCTTTTATTTTTCACAAATCACTCATTTATTTGTTTCATTCTTCTTCAAATCTAAATATGTATAGATGTTTTGTTTATTATTTGTGACTTAACTTTTTTATTTTTTAAAAAGATATATTATAGATAAAAAAAAAGTATTTAAACTATATTAAATCTCAATTATGAAATTATTAGGTATAATTAAGAGTACGTAACATGTATAACTCCACTTTTTCAACCTATACTTTTATTCCAATCAATCTCAACCATTTACTATTCTTAAAAAAACTGTATCAAATACTAAAAATTAATTAGGCTAAATATGATATCCGAGATCAATTTAGCGACAGATTACTTGGGTTGAAAATTTTGAATATAAAAAGATTGGTGTAATGCAAATATTTATATATGATACATTATACAATAGAGTGAGGTCCATGCACAGATTTCGAACAGAAAAAAATGTGTAGGTATTTTTAATAGTGACATGTGGGTTTGGATTTTGAGACATTTTCCTGTATTTTATACTGAACTCTCACATACCTAACCTAACACCGTTTATTCCTTCAATCAAATTCAGTTATAGCTGGCAACCAGTAACACCAAATCCCCACTCTCACACTCTATGCTTAATCAAACACATTCTTTTACCATAACAATATATGCATGGTACTGTGGGAATAACTCATACTAGAAATGAACCAAACATGTCCCAGTCCTAATTTTATTGTTTTTTTTATATATGAATTTAACTTAAAAAATAAAAGAGGCAAGAAAAAGATGAGAAAGTTGCTTCAAGAGTTGTTAAAAATTGAAGATATCTGGAGCAACTTTCCTTAACAATATTTTGTTACATGAAAAAAGCTATTATTGTAAGAAATGGGAGTAATTATTTGAGAAGAAATAATTTATAGAAAAGACAAAACGCAAAGAAGGTGAAGAGAAATATAAGGGGGTATGGGTCTCCGATTTTGTAGTTTCTTTGTCTGAAATGATTTCATGAATGCGAAAATGAAAAGAGTGGTAAGTTGGTTTCATTTTTGAAACACGGCAACAACGTTGAAAAGCATTCTCTAACCACACTGTCTAGTTTTGGCGCTCCCTTCAGCATCGTCACAGTTCACAACTATAAAAACAGTCAAAGGACACAACAACGTGCACCAAAAGGTACTGTGCTCTTGCTTACTCACTCACCGCCACACTGAAAATAAGAGAAACAGACAAACAAAAGCCTAAAGTAAATTCTTTCTATGTATTAAAAAATTCAGGGATTCTTCACTCTTCTTTTTCGCTATCTCTCTCTCTCCAATGTAGGTCGCCGGAGAATGGCAAACTGTCACCGGAATAGCGTTGGATCCATCGCTCTCGACCACCGACACACTGAGAAAAATGCCACTGCTGGCGGCCACTTCCGTGTGCTCCGCCGCTTGATCTTCGATGCCGTCAGCTGCGGCGGCACCTCCCGCTACCGTTATCGCCAGCGTGGCGGCGGCGAAGGAAGCGTTGGTGACTTTAGTTCGGTGGCTAGTCATGCAGAGAAGGAGGAGAGGTCGGAGAAGAGGTCGGAGAAGCTGTCGGATCTGCTGAACGCGGCGGAGACGAAAACGGATGCGGAGGTGGCGAGGAAGGAGGAGGCATTGGCGGAGCTGAAGCGAGTGGTGAAGGAGTTGCGCGAAGAAGACCTCTCGATGCGGAGAATCGCGGCGGAGAGAGTGAGGTCGCTGGCGAAGGAAGATGCCGAAGCGAGAGCGAATCTCGCAATGCTCGGAGCAATTCCTCCTCTCGTCGGAATGCTCGATTCGGAAGACGCTCGTTCGCAAATCGCTTCGCTCTATGCTTTGCTCAATCTCGGAATCGGCAACGATGCGTGCGTAATTTGCATTTTCATTCAAAATCCACCGTGGTGTTTACCCAAATATTTCATATATCTGAAATTTGATGTTAATTTAATTATTTCAGAAACAAAGCGACTGTAGTGAAAATCGGCACTGTACACAAGATGCTGAAACTAATTGAATCGAGTGATTCAAATTCGTCGGTGGCCGAAGCGATTATTGCGAATTTCCTTGGATTGAGTGCTTTGGATTCGAATAAACCGATAGTTGGTTCCTCCGGTGCAATACCGTTCCTTGTTAGCACCCTAAAAAATTTAGAGGCTAGTAAAACCGTATCACAATCCCAATCGCAAGTGAAGCAAGATGCTCTGCGCGCTTTGTACAATCTTTCAATATGTCAGAGCAACATTTCGGTTATTCTGGAGACTGATTTGGCTTGGTTTTTAGTGAGCGCGATAGGGGACATGGAAGTGAGCGAGAGGAGTCTGGCGATTCTGAGCAATTTAGTGTCGACTCCGGAGGGAAGAAAAGCGATCGGTGGTGTGAGCGATGCTATTCCGATTCTGGTGGATGTGTTGAGTTGGACGGACTCGCCAGAGTGCCAAGAGAAGGCGTCGTATGTGCTGATGATTATGGCACACAAAGCTTACGGGGACAGGAGGGCCATGATCGAGGCAGGGATTGTGTCGTCGCTGCTTGAGTTGACGCTTGTCGGAACCACGTTAGCTCAGAAGAGAGCCTCCAGAATATTGGAGTGTTTGAGGGTGGACAAGGGGAAACAGGTTTCAGGGAGCTACGCTGCAAACTTGAATTTGGGTGTCTCTGCTCCTATTTGTGGTGGCTCTTCTTCCTCCGAGGGTGGTGCAGGAGGAAGAGGGTCCTTGGTGGAGGAGGAAGATGGAATGATGATGAGTGAGGAAAAGAAAGCAGTGAAACAGTTGGTGCAGCAAAGTCTGCAGAATAACATGATCAAAATCGTGAAGAGGGCCAACTTGCGTCAGGATTTCGTTCCATCTGCCCAAATTGCTTCACTCACTTCGAGTTCCACTTCCAAGAGCCTCCCATTTTGAATAAACGATTTCACACTGTAGTTTCGTGGTGTTTTTAGTCTTGTAGCTATTTCCTAGCACTTATAAAATAGTAGATTACTCATTATAATAGTATCAATTTCCACTTTGTGTAGCTTTTGGTTCTATCGTTTTTTGGTATCTGCTAAGGACACATTATGTTTCTTTGGCGTGAGCTATTTGAATTTGAGGTTTAGATTTGCTGGTTTTGGTGTAGTTTGTTGGTGCCTCCCCATCAGTGGCATAACAGAAAAAATGGAAAATCTCAGGTTTGCTTTAAGAATGCAAACTCTATACCAGCTCCTCTGCTTTCAAATAGTCCCTTTCTGATCATAACACACTTTTGTCTTCCACTTACTCAGGCTATTTGTTTTTGTTGTAATTGTAGTTAATAAATTGGGTGGGGTGTACGTGTCTGTCATTTTCGTCTACAACATAGCTAAAGGGACTGTTCACTGCCATTTTCTATTTGAGAATCTTATCTCCCTTGGTTCGCAAATTTCACATGTTGAGTTTCAAGAATCGCTGGATTAGCACAGAGACGAACCCCATTTGTTAAACATTTGCACTAAGATTTTTGCTGTCAAAGCCATAAATTTTGTCGGATAAAAAATTCATAAATGACAGAATCCGTTACTGTCACATGACATGGTTCACTGTAAATAAATGCTAGGTGGGATTTGTTTGATCTGAAAGATGACCTGATGCATTTTCTCGGTGCTACGCATTACTACCTGTTACCTTACTTGGTATTTGTTGTGGGGTCCAGAGTCATATGAAATAATGCTATGTTTACTTCTATCCAGTGCTTAAATTCCGTTGAATTTCAGTGAAAACGTCTATTGTCAATGTAATTTCAATATAAAAATTAATTACATCAACCTTTTGATCACACAGAGGGCCCATTTACATTGACTTTCTTCAACTTTTAGCCTGCTCTGAGCCCGAGGTTCCAAAAGCATGCTTCTATTATTTGAGCTGCAGTGTTTTCTAGTTGGATTGCAAGAAAGACTAGAATTTGCATCCCACACAATGATGTGACCACGAATTTCTATTACTAACTAATGGCTAATAAATTCGTACAAGAGTACACTCAAATGTTTTATATCACCTAATTGCATACTACTCTGTATTTGGGTTTAATTCAAGTTTTAAAAACTTAGATTTTGGAAGTGTTTGATAGATGAGGTGAATCGTGAGTACGGAAATGCGATTTACCTTGCCTTTTTATCACCCGCAAAAATCTGAAGAGGAAGCTAACTCGTATTGGTGCATTTAGGTACATGTTCCTATGAATTTAAGAATTTCCTGCATTGTTTTTTTTTCAGTTTTTTCTTACGCCAGCTCCATGCAGTGACTAATAACAATAATAATATTATAACTTTAATTTTATTATTTTAATAATAACCTTTTTCAATTTTAAATAAAAAATTATATTTTATTTCAACATAATTTTTCTCTAATTACTTTTAAATTCATAACACAATCTCAAAGATAATTTGGTAAATATCCAATATTATCTAATATAACAATTTTTTTAATATATCGTATTTATCACATTATATACAAATTTTCAAAAAATATTATTTAAATTTACTCAAATCATACCATTTTTCTCTTAATCTAAACAATCTCAACTTTACATTTTTTTCCTCTCAAATTCACTCTCTCAAATCTATCTCCTTGTCCAAAAACATCCTAGCAGTGATTTCATAAAAATACAATTCTGATATTTTAAATCTTGAGTTTAAGTTTAATTAGTCTCTAACAATAAAATCAATCTATATATAATTAACTGTTTTTAAATAGAATAATTGGATAAGTGATCAATTAAATTCTTAAATATGAAAAATATTTCCAATTTTTTTAAATTAAATTTTGATTTAAATTTGTAAAAGTAATAAAACCATTTTTTTAGTAAGTTGATTTCAGATACAAATTCAATATTAATCTCGAACCATACTTTTATCAAACTATAATATATTTTTTATTACCTTTAATCAAATTATAATATTTAGTGGCTACTTTGTATCTTACATAGTTGGAAACTAAATTATATATATCTAAATTAGTCAATGTACTGTCGAGAATTGTGTTGCTGTTAATTTGATTTCGAATAACATTTATATGAGAAGTGGATGTTACTTATCAAACGGAAGAGAATGACCTGTAAATACGAATGCCTAAATTCAATCCAAAAAATAAATAATTATTATTCTTAGTGTATTTGCCTTACTTCTTATCCGTTAAAAGCCAACCATATATTTTTGCATAAGATTAAGTAGGAGCAAGAATTGTGTAGGTTGATTGATTGAACCTCATTTTAGTATTTGTAGACCGAGTTATAACACTTTATCACATAATAGATGTCTGGAAAAACTAAAGAATTCAACCATAATTTGGATCTAAATTGGTCTATTAATTAATTAAGAGATCTTATACGTAGTTATTATATTCATATTCCCATAGTTTTAAATATTCATGTTCATATTTTTGGGTAGTGGTGAAAACAAAATACATATTCACGTAATTGTGATAATAAAGATGTAGAAGAGTGTACTGCATAAAAAAAATCTGTTTAGAAATTATTTTAATATAAACATTTTCTATTATCTAGTTTCAGTTTATTTGCTATAAATGTATTTCTTTAATAATAATTTAAATATCTTAATGACAATATTGCTCATTAAATATACATTAAGGCTTTGTTTACTTGAATGGACTTGGCAGAAGAGTCATTGAATATATTTGAGAGGATTTGAAGGTAAATTTTTATTGTTGTTTATTTGAGTGAATTTTTGGAAGTAAAGTTTGGGAGAATAAATGTAGGATTTGATTGATGTGACATATTAAAAAAATAAACAAAAAATTTACTTTCAAATCCTCTCAAATTCATTCAATCACTCTCTCCCAAATTCATTTAAGTGAACAAAGTGTAAGAGAGAATGAATACACCGATAAACCATTCTACAGCCAAGCGTTAAGCTTCAAATATATAAATTCAAAATTATGTTAAAATATATTACATCTTACTTCATATCTTCCACCTTCATAAATCTAGCTTCTCTCCTTCCCTCTTATTCATGATCACACATATTATTAAAAGAGTAAAGATTCTTTGATGCATCTAAATATTTTATATTCATTTGACGCTACCCTTATTTTTTATTTTATATTTTCTTGAAACAATACAAAAGTTTATACTTTTTTTACTATTTTATCTTTGTAACATGTGTCAAATGAATGTAAACACGTGTTATAGTATCATTACTCTTATTAAAAATATGTTCATTATTTTGTGTGAATGTTTACTGTATGCATGTGGATTGAAAAGTAATAACAAAAGGTATAAAAAGTATTACCCTATGGAGTTTCGTTTGTGCTTCCTACATAGTACGTGACCACATGCACATGCATTACTTTATCATATATAATGCACAACTTCTGTAGTGGAACTTTCTTTAATTGCTTTTATACTGGAAATGGATAACCATGATTGTACACTTCTATATGAGCTGTTTTCACCTTTGTTTGGGGAAAAATAATAATAATGAAACATCGATATTGTAGAAGCAAACGAGAACACAATTAAAGTTGTAAGGAAATTGTAAGAAAATGAAAGGTGATGCAATAATACTGCTGAAACATTGTTTCACATGGTTTTATAGTGTTCATTAATGTGTAGTAGTCATGCAGAGCTACCAAAAAAACAAACACTGGCTATAAGATATAGACTCTTCATGCATCCATACACAACGTCTTCGCATCCTTTTCATGAAACTATACATTTTCATATTATAAAAATGTATTTTATTTTGCAAAGTAAAAAAAAAATAGTTAATATATAATTGTTTGATTTACATCTTATTTTTGTTATATATGAGGCATTAGTTTTTCTTAAAACGTCTGAAGGGAAGAGGTATGAATCACATGTTTTTGGTTTTTATATCTATTTTGGACAGACTAGAAATTGAATTTCTTTTCTACAAGCAGATGCACGATGGCCGAACCCAAACTTTTTTTTCCCTAAAGACTGAAAGACCATCTGATATTCTTCCTTTGGCACTTTATTAAGATTTTCTTCTAAAAAAATCCTTATCCACACAATCCGTAACATATCCTAAATAAATATTTTTGATGGATATATTTATTACCAGCTTATATTTTTTTATATAATAATTATTAGTAAGTTTTATTTTAATATTTTTGCACTGTATTAATATTTTAATGAATAATTTGATTTGAATTATACTTAAAAATTATTATTTTTTATTTAATTTTATATTTGAAAGATTATATATATATATATATGGATACTCATAAAAAAAACATGAATATTTTTTTCTCTGATGGGTAACTGGTCAGCTGACAAAACAAATTATTAGACAAGACTGAAAAAGAATGACCCATTATCAATTATCATCTCTACTCTTTGCCAAATAAAACTAGGGAAGGGAGATTTTTGGCATTAAAAATGTCTTCTAAAATAGTTATTATAAAACTTAATATTTAAAATAATATTTAAATAAAAAAAAGTGTTTTACTAATTTTCTACAGTTTTATCGCTTTAGTGTGGAATTTATACAGATTAAACTAATAAATTAATTTAAATCTTCATAAACCTAGAACTCACCAACAAATAAATATATCCTATCACAATAAAATAATCATTTTTCCCATTTTCACGTGTTAATTTATAAATTTAAGACCAGTTTATATGTCAAATCTATCATAAACTTCTAAATATTTGCACAAGAATAAAATTGAAGAGTTCAGATGGGGAAAATTAACAGAACAGTCAAATTTATTTATATTAAAATATTTTAACTCTAAACAATCCCGAGTTCCATATCATTGTTGCTAACAGATTTTTCAGCTAATAATTCCTTTAATTGAGTGTTTTTTTGGCCGATTGCACCTCTTGTTAACAAAACGGCTCAAAAGAATCGAGAGGATCCAAAATTGCACATGATCTTACACAGGTCAAAGTTACAATCGAACTTTTTTCTTTTGTTTTCAGGAAAGTGTGCCTTCATTAATAATTCAAACATTGTATTTCTAGCATTTGGATCTTTCTTAACATTATCAAAAAGGAAAACGCATCGATAAGGGTCCTTATTATCCGTATAATTAATAGTCTGATTGAAAAATAGATTCATTGCCACACTTTGTCCTTCATAGTCCTAACAGAAAATTACCAATTAGCATACTGCTTAACAATACGTCGAACACATCAAGTGGTTCTTGAGAGGAGAAAGGGGCATGACTTTCTACATAGTAAAGTGTACCTATGA